GGTATAGGGTGGGTTACTATTTATGCAGGTCGGGCCTAGGGTGGACTGCGATATTCGGCATACCGGGGTGTACAGTGGACTGATATTTGGCAGATCGGGGTGTACAGTGGACTGCGATATTTGGCATACCGGGGTGTACAGTGGACTGATATTTGGCATACCGGGGTGTACAGTGGACTGCGATATTTGGCAGATCGGGGTGTACAGTGGACTGATATTTGGCAGATCGGGGTGTACAGTGGACTGCGATATTTGGCATACCGGGGTGTACAGTGGACTGATATTTGGCAGATCGGGATGTACAGTGGACTGCGATACTTGGCATACCGGGGTGTACAGTGGACTGCGATATTTGGCATACCGGGGTGTACAGTAGACTGCGATATTTGGCAGATCGGGGTGTACAGTGGACTGGGATATTTGGCAGATCGGGGTGTACAGTGGACTGGGATATTTGGCAGATCGGGGTGCACAGTGGACTGGGATATTTGGCAAATCGGGGTGTACAGTGGACTGATATTTGGCAGATCAGGGTGTACAGTGGACTGGGATATTTGGCAGATCGGGGTGTACAGTGGACTGGGATATTTGGCATACCGGGGTAGATTGGTATATTGGGCAGATTGATGTATGGGTAAATATATAAATGGGTTGGTATATGTGGTAGATCGGGGTATACAGTAGATAGGTTTATAAGGTCTGTGGATGCTTAGGTCGGTTCGGCTAATCAAGTAGGGAGACATATTCTGGAAAAGTCATTCTACCGAATGAATTTTACCTGACGACAGGTTAGACTGAGACAGGGCGCAGACGGAAGGCCCTGGGGTAGAGTCAATGCTGCCTGCAGTTGCTTCATTTGATAACCTCAAGCTATCGCGTTTTTTTCATTGAAATTCTTTATGTGCATTTTAAGTTATTGGAATCAATAAAAGTAATAAGTGAGTGAGTGAGTATGGTTTTACGCCGCTTTTAGCAATATTCCAGCAATATCACGGAGGGGGACACCAGAAATTGGCTTCACACATTTGTACCCATGTAGGGAATCTAACCTGGGCCTTCGGCGTGACGAGCGTACGCTTTAACCACTAGGCTTCCCCACCGCTCCATAAGTAATAAGTACACTGTTACAAGAGTTATGATGGCGAAGTTGTGTGTCCGGTTTATTTTGCGACAGACATATTTGATTACATTGTGTGTATGACATTGCAGTACTGGTCACTGGTCAACCGCCGCCCACGTCGGCGTGGACGTGTGTACAGTAGATGTTGTATATTACGTCATCTATAGCATCTCAGTCATTGTCGTTCCCGTTGTCGTCTTCACATCATTGACAGATTTATGAGCTTCCAGCCGTTCCAACAATTCGTTAGGGGTTATATACAGACAATCCCACTATGCAAATCACCACATTAACCCTTGTTGTGCTATTTACTCTGCATAGCCCTTTCAAACCTTAACCCTTTCTGTTTTGGGTGATCGTATCGTAATTACTGTTGACAAGCATGACCACGCCCCATTAGCTGTGAGAACGTAACCTGACATGTATATGAGGCCCAGTAATCAACCAATCACAACGTGCTGTGTCCAGCATCTTGGTGGCATATGGTACCTGTCTATTGTCCTATACCATATAACCCAGTGTGCAGTATTGGAGTCACCGCCTGGTCCTAGACTGACATGCAATTAGCTTTACAACTACTATTATATACATAATGTCATTACGACCTCTCTGGCTTAATTAAATCGGAGAGTGGTTTATAGGATATAGAGTACCCGAGACAATGGCAATTGTTAGCCGATGTACAAAGATGTCAAATTCTGTTGAGTAAATCGGTGTAATTTGCTAATCGTTCCTTTTTCTGTTTTCTCTTGTTTGTTTGTTTGTTTGTTTGTTTGTTTGTTTGTTTGTTTGTTTGTTTGTTTTCAAAGAGCAGCATCTGTTTCAAGCAGTCGTACGTTAGTCGTAGCACTAAGGTCGCTTTCTGAAACGGTGAGGTGAGGTGAAATTGGGTTTAACGTCGCGTCCAAGATTATTGCACTTATATAGCGACGTGCATGCACGTGTGTGTGTGTGGCTGCTTGTACTAGTCCGGACTGATGCCGATTTATAGTGCTAGCTCACTGAGATACCATGCCGCAGTTAACATGAATACCCCACTCAGACACAGTATACTGACTCCGAGCCGACCAGTCCTTGTTTTAGCCCCTTAATGTCGAGCGCCAGACAGGGTAACAAGATGTACCATCTTTAAACGTCTTTTGGTATGACGCGGCCGGGGATCGAACCCCGGACCTTCCGCTCTCCTTTCTGAAACGGAGCCCAGCTCACTTGTAGGTTGATTACGAGTGATTAATGTTGAGATTCCCTTGTTCACAAGCATTTATTTCTCAATACGAAAACAAGAACATCAAAACAGGTCGCTTATTAAGGTAGTAATATGTGTTAAGGGAGTGGGTAAGTTTTATCAAGGGTGACACCAGAAACGGGTTTTCACATTGCACACTTGTGGGATGTCTAACCCAGGCCTTCGGCGTGACGAGCTAACGCTTTAACCATTCGGCTAATTTGTATTGGCCAACTCGCATGCGTTGTCTCGTCAGACACCTTCCTCGGCTTGACCTCGTGTTCCGTGGCAGTTGGGACGCTAGCAACTACTGAAACACCTAATGCGACGTATGGCAGTTAGTGAGTTGGGTTTAACGCCGCTTTTAGCAGTGTTCCAGTTATATCACGGCGTGTCAGTTTAATGTGGGAGGAAAGCCCGAAGTGATGCAGGTCTCAGACGTTTACCACTTCGGTGAAACCCACAAGCAGAGGTATGGTGCTGACAAACCTAGAAACCTAATCAGGGTTAGTCGGGATTCAAACCCACAATCATAGGTTTCTGGCGTGCCGATGGGACGCAACTCTTCACAGCGAAATGTCACAGCGCCTTAGGGACCGACCATTTGATATTCTAACAGGAGGGACGATTATTTTTTTCAACAATTTCATTTTTTCGATAACACACACACACACACACACACACACACACACACACACACCTCTAGGAAATAAAATGGTGCCCTAGACGACTGTCGGTCAGTCACCGCGGGCAATCGTAACGTACAGTTTCATGCAGCCGTTGCGTCAGATAGGACCGCTGCTAGCATAGTTGACTCTTTGTAAAAACTCCCACGTATCGAGCCAGACTTCACTGTTTCCGATATGTGTGTCATTCTATTTACCTAACTTTACTCTACACATACTCCAAGTATTGATGATAACTGGATTGCGATCCTATTTGAAAAATGGCGGCTGGTGTCAGCCATATCGAAAATGTCTCGTTGACCCACTGCTCACAAGTTGTTAGATAATTAGACATGCTGAGGGAATGTGGTATGTGCAATTGTTTATTTCACTACTAATGTTATTATAAAAATTATATTATTTATTATTTTATTATAATAAAAAGTTATTATTCTCAGCCGATAGATACTCCTATACCTATTTCGACATCTCTTAAAACAATGGGGGGCACAGGTGGCCCAGTCGTCTAAGGCGCCACGATTCGCTGTGCAGAGTTGCGTCCCCTGGGCACGCCAGAAACCTATGATTGTGGGTTCGAATCCCGGTTCGCACCATACCCGTGCTCGTGGGTTTCACCGAAGTGGTAAACGTCTGACACCTGCATCACTTCGGGCTTTCCTCCTACATTAAACTGACACGACGTGATATAACTTGAATACTGTTAAAAGCGGCGTTAAACCAAACTCACTCACTTAAAACAATGGGTTCGACAGGTTTGTTAATTTTGTGTATAAAATCCGGCAGTACTCTCTCGGAAATTGTCCATAGAATCATGTTTTCCCAATTCAGTGTATTATTCAAAATTAAGTGACTGTATCTTTGATGAAATATGTGGTGGGACTTGGGGATGTTTTGATAACTTACCCTAATATAACCTTTAACCATTGCCCTTCATTTAACCCTTTACGCCTGTTATACCACTTTTTAAATATTTCTTCCAATAACAGTGTTTATGAGTTGAAATGTGTTTATGGTCTCAGAAATAGTGTCATTTAAATCTTACTTAAGATTTCTACTGGTGATATTACCACTACCAAAACAGTTATTCAAGTACCAGTGTGTAATTAACATATATAATGAGTATGCCTTGTGCGTACATTTCTGTTTTTTGTATCGTTTCAAATAACTTAATCTATGAATTTGAAAATATTCCAGATAATTCAGGTGAGCTACAGACCCAAACTCAAATGCCCGCGTCTACATGTACTGCCGATTTCACGGTTATGTAATCAATTATCAAAATCCTTTACATACAAATAATCGGCAAACAGCTGACAAATAGGACCAGCAATGTTTTACCAAGATAAGTTTAGAAATGATAAGAAAGTATGATGAAAATAAAACCGAAAAAAACACCTTTCCCTTCACATAAGAAATCTTTGCTAAAAGCAGAGTCGATTGTACGATTCCGACAATATTAAGACCATGTGTTTATGAATCACTATCAAATACTGACGGTACCAGGTGTGCGCAAAAAGGTGAGCGTATTCTGCCCAGTGGCACCCGTCACAAACACATGCAAAGGCAAGTCAATTGTTTACCTGAAACAAAACACGGGAACATATACCTAATTCGGTTAGTAAACATATAGGCAAACAAAATGCTATAGCGAAGGTATTAATAAAATGCTGAACACGTTTGAAAACTAATGTGTTCCGTTGGTTTGGAGAACACCTGGTGTCATGGCTGATTTTCAGTAATCCTTACATATTTTCATTACTAATTTGCCTTTTACGTCCAATTGAATCTGTTTCTGTAGATAATCGAGACTGGCTGTTCTCTGGTGTTTTGAATTTTAAGGGGTTTTTTTCTTCATTCATCTTTGGTGATAAGATGATTCAAATCGATCCTAATTTTTAAAATTGCATTACAGATCTTTTTCATATACACAGATTATGTTTTTAATTCCACGATTGTGCTTATCTATCAGATGCGGACACGTCTATGAACCACACGAGTGAAGGGGAGAGTATTTCGGAAACAACTGACAGCGACAGGACGGGTATTGACGGAGGTGGCAATTTAGACGGAGTTTCCGGGAAAACTTTTGACGATTCCAATGGCGATATAGGCACTTCCGGTGGGAAAACAAGGCGGAGGAGGACTGCATTCACGAGCGAACAGTTGTTAGAGTTGGAAAAAGAGTTCCATAGCAAGAAATATTTGTCATTAACTGAGCGATCTCAAATTGCACATAACTTAAAACTCAGTGAAGTACAAGTGAAAATCTGGTTTCAAAACCGTCGTGCAAAATGGAAACGTGTTAAAGCTGGATTGGTGCACGCCCGGGCCGGGAGTACGAACGATCAACAAAACAAACCCAAGATCGTAGTGCCTATTCCAGTGCATGTGAACAGAATTGCAATACGATCTCAACACCAGCAGATCGAGAAAACAAGACCAGTACCCTAGTGAGCCCAGTCATGTTGATAAACAGGGTTTGAAATTGACTCGCAAAATCAAAATTGTAGCCAGGGTTTCAAAGAGACGGACCTTTGATGCCGTTCCTGTATTAGAACGTTGGCTGGTGTTTTTATACAAGCACAGGAAACTATGTTATGGGAGGACAATGTTTACCCTTTTTCCCTTTCTAATCCTTTTGGTATGTTCCGTATCAAACGCCGGAAGATTCCATTCGATATTTTAGGGGTTAAAGGGCACAGGACATGAACTAAATGAAAAAATAAATGTTCTTTGTTCGTTGAACAGAGAGGGCCTGTTTCTTTACTCAAAAGGAGGGACCAAATTGTTTATTTACTAGAACGAGTTTTCAAAACTCTGTGTATGTAGTTTATTATATTTATACTACCTCTCTCATGAACTGACAGAGAAACAGAGAGTACACAAATATTGTGTCATTTACGCAACTCGCTCGAGTACAGCCTGATTACTCGTTACCGTAGTGTTTCTAGAAGGGCACATGGCAGTGACGAAACAACACTTACTACAAAGATATGATCTCTTTGGGGCTAATTTGCAATGATTGTGCAATTACACCAATGTCTTTCAGTGTCAGTACCGAGAAGCGCCCACATACTCATCAAATAACGTCAGAGCTAATTTAATTTCATAAAGTTATTGAGAATTTCATTGACTGATGCCACACTTTTAGTGTCGAAATACCCGTATCTAGCTTGAAATATGAAATACATCCCGAATTCAAATTTGTTTCAATTTCATACTATTTATTTTGGAAGTCAAAAATACTAATTATCTCTTTTAAACGTTCGTCCCAGTAGCAATTTATTATGTATACACAACACAACGCAACACACCCACTTTGAAGCTAGGCACCACTCCAAAATTCATTGCAACTGTTTACCCTTCTGATCATCACCGGCGCTCTGTTTGCCTGTCTTTCACACCTTTCACAAAATTGCGGCATATATTACATGCTTACAAAAAAACACGGTGGCAATGTTTAATTCCAAAACATAAAAACGGAGTGTCAAACACATGGTATATCACTCTCAAAATGACAAAAAAGTTTTGATATTTGTAAACTATGCACACGCGTTTAGACAGCTGTTGAGGGAAACTCCTTTGGCGGTTAAATCGCTGAGGTAAACTGCATTATTAATTTATGCCCAAAAAAAATAATTGATAAAAGCAGTTTGGTATGTTATTGATATTTAACACATATTTAAACGACATTTATAGGCACATTTTAAGATTTATTTCGAAAACGCTGATGTCAAATTCAATCGTTTGAAATTTCAGTGCTAAAATGGTCTTTTGAAATGTGGGATATTTAAGAGCATTATTATTCTAGGTACAGATTGCTTGTTTTTATAACTTAAGATAAATCAGAGAAACTATCATTATTTCTACTTTTCATATTTCAATTAATTAATAATGATTTATAAGTTTGTTTCTGATATTACACTTAGGTGACCATATCAACTTTGTTTTCTTCATGGCTGATATATCATTATGCTATTTAAAGCATACTTATTTAATATATATAAGTAAGTAATCACAATGATATGAATTAAAAGCTGAAATATTAACTTTTAAATGAAATGTTTTACAAATGTCAAACGTTTTTAATATTTGTTTTTAAAAGCATACAAAATACCTATAATATTCTTTAAAACTACAAATTTACAAACGGTCTTTTCCCATGTCAAACTAGTTTTAATAGCATATTTTGAGACATGACGTGATTAAATAACAAACTCACTGAAAATATGTCTATTCATTGGTAATACATCGGTTCTATATTAGATGATGTTGATACAAATGACATGATTGAATCCAATACTTACCACAGAAAATGATTTATTATTATTATTTATGAGTAATATTAAGGTGGTATAATAGGTTATTTTTAGATGCATAGCGTGGTTAAACAAAGTACCACAGACCTGAATACATCTGCCATATATCTTGTGATACTGAGACACATGCATTGGTTAAACAACGTAAGAAATGGGCACTGACATCGGTTAATTTAGCCAAGCCGGCCTGTGAGAGGTGGTGAGACAAGGGCATGTGTGGGTCGGTGTTGTCACGGGGGTAGCAGCCTATAGACACGGGGGGAGATAATTGAGGCTGCCTCAGGCTACACTACAGCAAATTGAGAAAATGTCTAGTATGACGGGAAATAACATGTTATTTACATGAAATTTACACCTTGCGTGACGGCCCATTTTGAAATATACACGGCCACACGTGCTGGAAGTGAGATTCTTTGTACACGCGCAATGTTGTTTTCTCTAGCATTCCATTAAAATTCAATGAGAAATAAATCTAAATTTATAATTTGTGAATTTCTTCTTGTTTTTCTCTCCACTGTATGGATTCGTGTGCGGGTATTTTCACCTTTACTTTCACTACATCTGCTGTGTGTCAGATTTGAAAGAAACAATTTATTCGACTCCCGAGTCGGAATAACGTAGCGGCCGGGTCGAGCATGACTGGGGCATTGTGTACGGGGAACAATCACCAAGGCATGACGGTTATACTGACGGAGGTAACAAGATGGAGTTTTTTCACAGGATCAAAAATCAAAGGTCAACTGTTTGGTTTAAATACCACATCGGTATAAGGTTCACTAATGTCTTATATTTCAGTTCAAAAAGCTTAATATTAATACATTTCAATATGATTTTATTAATATGAAATACGTTACGTTTGCTAAAAAAACTAAAGATCCGTGTGCAATAGAAATTATGTTTTGGATGACACAGGAAATGTTTCATGTCTACATAGTGCATACTGGGGTTACAATATATACCCACTTTAACAATAATTGTCCCCCCTAAACTATATTCAGAGGCTGACAATAATTATGAGTACATGAACAGCAGCGTAGAAAAGCGTGAAAATGTATGTTCTGTTGCGGATGAAAATCTATAATTCCACTTTCACATGAATATCAGACAGAAAGGAATTGGACATATACCTCTGATATATTACAACACGAGACCAAATAGTTATCGATGCGTTCACTAGTAGTCAAGATATATAAACAGACGGTTATTTATCTCTTAGCTTACACGTTCTGCGATGATAGTCAAACCAAGATTATTCATTTTGATTGCATTCAGACCCGTTTTTTTCCTTTTAAGAAATACAAACCTGAATACAACTGCGATTAAATGAATAATCTAAAGCACTAGAGTTTAACAAAAAGCACTTCACGGAAATATTTTCCTAGGTCGTATTGAAAGGTATGCATACAGATTTCCAAAGCCCTCTTACACCAGATGAAAGATGGGTTTTCTATAAATGAGATTCAAAATCCAAGTTTCGTTTTTATGTGTTTTATTGCCAGTTTGAAAATGGTAACATTTTATTGAGTGGCCCCATGGTCGTCGTCGTCTCGCCTCGTGTAAATGGCCCCTCGCCCTCGCTCCCACCCCCGGGATTATGACTAAATTAGCCTTGAGTGTCGAGACGGCAATAAACTCGGGCGTAAATGAACTGGGGCGCAAAATTTGATCACAAAAGATTTGTAACACATACACACAGTGAACGATCCGGGGTCGGGCCTTTAAATAGACACAAAGGTTATGAAATGAAAGATAGATGGCTTTAAAGCGCAATAGAGGGACTTTGCAGCGTTTCCGTCAAGTCTTTCAAACCGAGATCCAACGCCGAAGGGAACGGATGTTTATCGATATGAAAAAAATATGTTGGATTCGGTTTGACGAATTCTCCGCTATCTGAGTAATGTTTTTCTTATTTTGGACTGAGTTTAAAGAATATTTAATCCATAACTCATACGGGTTCGTGACCCCTGTATAGATGATGACTGTGCAAAAAAAGTAACGAACACCTTGAGACTATTCATAGTACATGATTAAAGTCTATTCCTGTAGCCTTGGGTTAGCCAAGTTATTGCAGGGTATTTAATGTTATCCTTTGTTATAAAGATACAGTCCTTATTATCACAATTCTTCTCTTATATAGTGACCTTTTCAAAGTCGTGTCGGGTGTACGTCTGACGTGATCTCTCCTGTGGCCATGTCATGTCGTTTTAGCCACCAACTTACCAGCTGAAGTGTACATATAGATCCAGTTTCGAGGTAATCTTATATACTACTCCCCTTTGAAGGGGATATTTATTTACCTTTCCCTGAGACACACAACTGATTATCATAATACATCAAAATGTATATTTAAAAAATGTCTTTGATAGGCATTTAGAAGTTGGAAGAACATGCATACATGACACTTTTTATGGAAAGCAACTTCTTTTATTCTTTGTCACGACGTTTCAGTGCTACTTCTTGCTCCTTCCTCAGTCGTGGCAAAGAATAAAAGAAGCTGCTAAGTGGCATGTATTTATATTTAAATAGAAAGACATATCTGATTTTTCCTATCAAAAGTGGTGTAGCATATACCCCTTCGTACAGCTGATACATCAATGTAGCATTAACGTTTCTTTTTTTAGCTTGAAAATAACTAAACAAAACCTGGTGAAAATTATATTAGGTTATGCATAAGTTATGGAAACAAAACACAATAGGATTGAACACAAAAGTGATCCACGTACGGAACCTCTCTCTTTTGGAATATCACGACATTGACATCAGGGGGATTTACACGTTTTGTTTTATAACGTCAATGTCAAAGAGGTGCAAATATGTATAATGTGCAGTGCGGGTAATATTAACTATTTGAAAGCTAAAGCAGTGGTCATTTACAAATAAATACTAAATGACTAAATAAATACATTATCTGTTGGAAAATATAAAAATCACATTACTAAAAACAGAAACACATGAGTTCAACTGAGTTAGAGCAGTTAAAGATTTGAGTTTGGACACTTTTGGTTGTTATAATGTTTTTTTAACAGACTTTAAAATTATCAATATGATTTTTCGTAAACATTATGATTAAATAAGTGATGACATTTGCCAACCAACGTCTTCTTTTAAAGTGATTTTTAATTATTTTGTTAATACAGGCTTACACATAAACCCTGAGTCATGGATCAGAATGTTAATTGAATATACAACTACTACTACTACTACTACCACCACCACCACCACCAACACCACCACCACTACTACTACTACTACTACCTTGACCCCCGCCACCTTCCACATGGACCCCACTACCCCACCCCTACCAGCGTTCATCCAAGCATCACTTTCGGTATAGAGATGATGAGAAAGTGTTCTCGGAACGCCCCCCGAGACGAAGAATACATCTAACCAGCCAAACTCTGTAAATGATTAAAATATTTACGTCTTAGTAAAACCTCCTGGGCATTGCCTTTGAAATATGGCCATATGAAAGGGACAAGCAGCACGTATTATCATCACAATGGCATTAGATGCATCAACACCTCCTAGGTATGATACAAGGAATGTCCAGCAAGAAACACGCCCTGACATCTATAATTACTAGACAGGTACCCGGATGTCCGATAACAGGATGGAGTTTTGTCGGAGACATGCATGCATTTTAATTATTTTTCAAACACTCATGTTTTTCAAACAAACAATTTCTTGGGTGCATCATATTTTCAGCATAATCTGGAACATGTACCCCACTCATCCACCCAACATAATAACATGGTAACCTTGATAACCATAGATAACACGTTACCAGGATAACTCGATAACAGTGTAACATGATAACCAAGATAACACTACGTTAAGGTGAAGTGATAAACAATATTATCATGACAACATCGTAGTACGCTACCATAGTAACACGATAAGAGGATAAACATCACATGATAAACAGGTAATGGATATCACGGTAGGAACAACACGATGAGAAGGTAAACGTAACAAGGTAACGTGATAGCATGGTAAGGATATCACGATAACATGGTAAGGATATCACGATAACATGGTAAGAATATCACGATAACATGGTAAGAATATCACGATAACATGGTAAGGATATCACGATAACATGGTAAAGATATCACGATAACATGGTAAGGATATCACGATAACATGGTAAGAATATCACGATAACATGGTAAAGATATCACGATAACATGGTAAGGATATCACGATAACATGGTAAGGATACCACGATAACATGGTAAGGATATCACGATAACATGGTAAAGATATCCCGATACCATTGTAAAGATATCACGATAAACAGGTAACGTAATATGATTGTAAGAACAATACGATAACATGGTAGGAATATCACGATACCATGGTAAACATATCGCGATAATATTGTAAAAATATCACGATAAACAGGTAAAATATAACACAATAACATGGTAAAAATATCACTATAAACGGTTAAGTGATAACACAGTAAGAACAACATGATAAACAGCTAACGTGATAACACGGTAAGAATAACACAATAACACAATAAGAGCAATACAATAACATGGTAAGAATATTACGATAACATTGTAAGAATATCACGATAAACGGTTAAGTGATAACACAGTAAGAACAACACGATAAACAGCTAACGTGATAACACGGTAAGAATATCATGATAACATGGTAAGAATATCACGATAACATTGTAAGAATATCATGATAACATGGTAAGAATATCACGATAACATTGTAAGAATATCACGATAACATGGTAAAAATATCACGATAAACAGGTAAAATATAACACAATAACATGGTAAAAATATCACGATAAACGGTTAAGTGATAACACAGTAAGAACAACACGATAAACAGCTAACGTGATAACATGGTAAGAATATCATGATAACATGGTAAGAATATCACGATAACATTGTAAGAATATCATGATAACATGGTAAGAATATCACGATAACATTGTAAGAATATCACGATAACATGGTAAAAATATCACGATAAACAGGTAAAATATAACACAATAACATGGTAAAAATATCACGATAAACGGTTAAGTGATAACACAGTAAGAAAAATATGATAAACAGCTAACGTGATAACACGGTAAGAATAACACGATAACACAATAAGAGCAATACAATAACATGGTAAGAATATCACGATAACATTGTAAGAATATCACGATAACATTGTAAGAATATCAAGAATATTGGGCAACACGCTCACATGTTACAATTACACAACAACAAGGTACAAATAATGCGATTATAGGATAACACGGTACGAATGTACAATAACAAGGTACAAATAATGCGAATATAGGATAACACGGTACGAATGTACAATAACAAGGTACAAATAATGCGATTATAGGATAACACGGTACGAATGTACAATAACAAGGTACAAATAATGCGATTATAGGATAACACGGTACGAATGTACAATAACAAGGTACAAATAATGCGATTATAGGATAACATGGTACGAAT